TTGCGAAGTAAGAGCTCCTGATTGACTAGTTAGAGAGATAGAGTCCATCACACCTCAGTTACTGGGACACCATGAAATATGACGACGTGCACAGAAAGCTGGTTATTCATAACAATACATTGACTTGTGTGTGCAAATACACGCTTCAATGTCCTGAAAACACACACTGGGGAGGCCACCTGGTCTCCAGTGCCATATGATTGCAACATGCTCCAATATTCGGCTAAGTTCAGCCATCCCGTGGCACGAAATTATCCCCATTCCTAAACGACGGTATTCTGCATGATGCTACCAATGTCATCTATAGTTCACCCGGGGCTGACGGCACTTACTCAGAAGCACAGGAAGTGTTGCTACGAAAGTAATGCAAAGTCTATCGTTTTTGCTTCAATACACTTGGGTGAACAATTGAGCCCTACTTAATATAGGCAAGCCTTCAAGACAGTAAATTTTAAGGAAACTGGTGGCTCAGAACTGGCAAGCTAGAGCCGGGTTATCCTCTTCCCGATATTTTTGATGATGACGGGAGCGATCAAAACACAGCACTAACCAGCTACTTAGAAAGATGTAACTAAATAAAATTTGCTACGTTAGAGCTCCTACCAAAACCAGTCAAGCGATATAACAAACTGATTCCAAAACAAATATAAAAGCGGCTGGTAAAATCAGATTCCATTACATCTATCTCGATTTCCAAAGGTTATCGGCAGCCCGACTCGTTGTGCATTTTGTTGCAATCTCTCCATCCATGGGCTTAGGTGGCCCATCCGTTGGTGGATAGCAAACATCCTATAACAGTGGTAAATGCAGGTGGGAGATTTAGACCCAGTATTTGAACTGGCTGAGTTTCAATATACTACTTTACAAGGTTTGTGCTGCGGCTCCACAATTCACTCGTCTTCATAAAGGGACTCGTATATGTGATCATAGCAAGTTTCCTGCCTTTCACCAACAGATGATCAAATTGGTTGCGGCCCATTACAGTAAGAGCAGACTAGAGATTATGAATAGTCATAAGGAAGTAAACTTTCGTTTTACTCGGGCATATGCAAAGCCATCTGGCAAATAGTGTTTATATGCTTGGAATACACCTTTGGAAGAAATTCTCTCACAAGCATGACCATGCGTGATACTGATACAGATGGGCTACTTGCTAAAAGTAACCAATAATGCCGTCAAAAACCTGCATCCAGCACAATGATCATTGGCGGAAAGCAATTAAGGGATTTGACTACACCCGAGTTCCTTAGTAGGTACTCTGCGCCTGTCTGAGTTCACATGTGGAGTGCGCAGGCCAAATAAAAGTATTTAAGAAGCAACACGCGTTTTCGTCTCTAGAATCCGCAAAATGAATGGAAACTGTAAATCTAAATGGACTACTCCATCCGTTACTGTTGCGGACCAGTCAAATAACCCCGCAAAAACGTGCCAGAAACTCCAGCATAATGGCTGTGAAAAGCGGGGTCCAATTCCTCCCCACAACGTAGCAGTGTTCAGCTACTCCGAGACGCGGCCCAACTGCCCACCTGTTGACAACGCTCTTTTACAAACTACTACCCCACCGTGGTAGCTATTTCCCCTGACTTAATGACCTACAACATTGACTGTGATTTGCCCTTTGTTGGTTGTAAAAGAGCCTTCAGAGGACCACCTGTCTCGCTTTCTCTTCGACTTAGTTTGAAGTCGGTCGGTCACGTGAGTTTGCGTGCGTCGTTAGCCCGGCTTCGTTCGCGTCTAAGTCACTAGCCCGCGTCTACCTCTCGTGTGCGTCCGTTCCGAAGGCTCAGCGTCTACCCAAATACGTGCGGCTTGGATTTTTCGCACGCGCACTCAATTTCCGTCTCACCCCGGGTTAAGCTAACGCCAGCAGATCAACGCAAAACCGTTCGACTGGTCAGCGGTCCAAGCCGTTATCGTAGGCGTGCTCCAACCGTGCCAGTGACAATCTTATCAGGTATCTACGCAGCCATAACACCGGCGTCCTTCAATTATTATGGTTACCAACATGGACTGATATAGGCGCCAATGAGATGCAACTTATGTTACCGTGATAAATCCTGAAGAACGTGTCTTGGGTTCGTTCCTGTCTCCAGAAAATAACAGCCGCAGCAACCCGTGAGGTTAACAAATGAGTATTGGACTCAGAAACTATATCATTTTTCCGTTAATCAGCAGCGGATCGCTTCCACAACTTATGATTTACCCACTATCTTCGTGTTTAGAGAGCAGGCTAGCTCTATATTCACCAGTTCACGTTTTTTGTGTACCTGTTATTGATCCTGGAGGAAAAAGCTGTGAATAAATCTGTATTTGTCATTATATAAGTATAACGGTGACCACATTGATGTATGATCCACTTGTTTGGCGGCGATTGTTTTGGAACTTGTGATTCTCATCCGGTGCAGCTTTTGGGAATCGAAAAGCCTATAATTTTACCTGTAGTATAAAATTGGTGCATACGAATGAGTGGTGAATGGTAGGTTCCAATAACCGACTGATAAATGTTGTGTTGGTAATGCAGTGTGCTGTTCCGTACGCTTCACGCCGTCGATCTGAATGTGTGTTGTTGGATAAGCGGCTAATGCAGTCTGTAGAAGCAAATCACATGTCTGCACGTAAAGCATTTCAGCCGATGAGCTTGCTTGTATCCTAAGGTTACCTAAACAGAGTGACAAGCAAATTCTCGGAATGAACGTTATTGGTGTGTAACTAGATACTTAATTAGATACTTAATTATGGGTGTGACCAAATAAGAATGAGGTGCAAAATGAATGGCGGAAGTTTCACCCATATGTCCACGGCAGTCTTAAGCTGACAAGTGACAATGGGTAGCCCACTAGGCCTTGTACTCGCAGATTTCTTCATGCTGATGATAGAAAAAGGCATATCCGCAGAAATAGCCAAGTTACCATACTATAAGCGTTATGTGGAAGACATGTTGACCTTTTATTCGTCAGAATAGCCGACTGTTCAGTTGGTGCAGCCCCTCAACTGTGCACATGCCAACTTGCGTGTCACCTGCGAAGTGGAACAGAAGTACTGTCTGCCATTCTTAGACATCCACATCAGTCGCAGGCATGACGAGCCCATTAAGAGGTCTATCTACAGAAAAGCAACATGGTCCGGCCAATACCTGCACTTCACCAGCTTCACACCAATGTGGTAAGCGGACCCTTGTACAAACTTTACTTAGTCGTGCTAGACCAATTTGCTCGGCTGCTTGTTGCTCGGACGAGTTAGAGTTCATTTTAACAACACTCATCGCGAATGGTTATCCTCGCAGAGAAACACAGCCAACAGGGAGGTCCGAATGACTTGTTGCCTACGGCAGTCAAGAAAATGAGCTATATCGAGTTGCCGTTCAAGGGTGACTTTACTTTATCGAAAACTATGCAACGTTTAATTTCTGCTACGCAGAGAATTTACTGTGCTGCTCAGGTTGTGGTCGTCAATAGAACCCGTGAATTGCCGGTGCCTCCAACGAAGGAAGCTCAACCGATCGGGGCCAACTCACACTGCATATACAAATTCGTGTGCGACTGCGGAGACAGTTACATAGGCAGAACCAATCGGTCTTAGACTTCCCGAATAAAGGAACATGTGCCAAGGTGCGTTTAACGTGAAATTGACCAGCATCCCGGTCCCACTGAAGTTCCGTGTTTGCCTAAGCCGCCAGCTATCTCAATAGGCAAACACCTACTGACTGCATGTTCATACTTGTGTTACCTCACCCTAAACCCGGCTTCCACTGTTTCCCCGAGACAGTTGCGATAAGCCGGATGAAGCCGGCCCGGTGTGTTCAAAAGCAGTTATTTATCAGCTTAAGACTGCCGTAATCATACGGGTGGAACTTCCGTCATTCAGTTTGCACCTCAGGCTTATTTGGTCACACCCATAGTTAAGTATATAGTTGCATACCGGTTATTGTCAATGGTACTGAGGAGACAATACGAAATGCATGTATCTACTAGTTTTCGTCTTCTTACCGCGCTTTTCAAATTTCTGAAGGGAACTAACTGATTTAAATTATTGGTGTGCACAGGTTGTGCGTCAACCCGCTTTAAATTAATTCCAGTAAAAAGTAAGCGGTAAATTCAAAGCACAAAATGGTTTCTGTTTTAATAGTTGTCAGTCTCATGGCATAATTGAACGGTAACTAATGTCATAGTGACTTCTGGTAACACTCGATCAAACCATTCAAACCGTGTTCGTCTATGTACATATCACGTGATGAAAGGCAATTGGGATTGCTGTTATGCCTAACAACCCTATAGCAGCTGCATGATTGCATGTTTCTTCTTCGGGATGCTTAGGCTCGACTTTGTCAATCCTATGCATATGACCACAGCGGGAGCAATTATCTGCACGGTCATCCGCTGGTTCTGCTCAGTTGCCTCACTGCATAAGTTTATAAAAGCGGACCATTTGTCGATTTGGTAGCCTATGTTGTTCAGGTGATGGATTATCACAACCAAGTTGGTTCTAGCGAGTTAATTACTGAAATAATTTGGCAGATATTCTTAATTCTTTTATCTGCACAAGTAGTTACGATTTGTCATTTGTTACGGTTTATTTCCCTAATGGGTATGATATCGAATTAGTCGAAAATACTTTGTATTAAACTCACCGCCCAAATTGCTCCTTTGGTTTATCAATAAATGGACAATTTGTACGAACCTACACGCCTTAGACTAATTTCAGTGCAATTGCTTGGCAGAACTATCGGCCAGTTATCGAAAGGGTATCGGTTCTAAGCAGCCTACTTGCGGGCGATCTTGCGGTATATACAACCTATGCGCGATTAGTGGTCTTCGTAACGGTGGAACGATGCGCCGGCATACTACTGACGCCTTTATATATGGCCAAGCTTTTCGAGATGATTACCCTGCGTTGAGGTGTGTACTTCACGATAAATCACAAATGTGTAAAGGAGAACTTCGAATGCAAGTTGAAGCCTCGTTTCTTTCCAATGACATGGTATCACGGAGTGAACAACTTACCTGGGATAGAGTCCATGGCATTGCCAAAATGGAGGTTCCCATCATTGTGTTCCATATGGAGAAACTAATTTAGGAAAGAAGTAGCGTTAAAAAGCATTAAAAGTAAAAAATCAACAAAGTCACGAAGCACATTTGCTAGCAACAAGAGAACGTCAATAATATGACTTATTGATACTAAACCCACTTTGGATGTTAAGCGGGATCGTGGATAATTACTAAGGGTTACTAAATCAGACACGGCTGTCTGCTGCAGGGCTGCACCTTTGGCCTTACTGGATGTCCACGAAATAGCAGCTGGCATGGCGCACGTTCACTCTCATGTCATTTTAGTACGATCATCTTTTCTTTGGATTTTGACTGCTAATTATGTAGACACCTATTAGGTTCCTTATCATTCGTAGCGCTGCGCTAGATTTATCAGTGCATTCCGCATATTCCATCCCACTTATGATGGATAGAGACATGACCACACCGCTTTTTCCGAGCCTGCTTGGTGTTTTGTGGACCTTGACTGGTTGGTACTGTTGATCTAGCCCATAGTTTGAAAATGACGTTCAATCGAGGGTAGTCAGCATGATAACTCACGAATATCTCAGTCGTGTGCTGTTTACCCTATTCAGTGGCAGTTTCTACGCTACAGACTGGATGGCGACACACGTGGAAAGGATTCGCGAACAGTTCGTTCACTGGTGCATACGCTGAGACAGATACATCTTAGATATCGCACGCAAGCACGTCTGGAACACTGCACTCTACGGCTAGCTTTGCGCTTGCTCGCGCACATCAGATGGGGATAACAAGTTTCCAGTCCCCATCCCAGCTGATTGGGATTCACTTAAGCCCAATCGTGATGAATATTTGGATTGCGTGTTTTCAATTATTCAAAGAACAAGTGTTTACAAATGACCTGCCAAACTTATACATCAACAAATTTTCGCTCCCTCCTAATTTATAATCATAGCTTCGTTGATTTTTGCAGCGGAAAAGTGATCGACATCTTGAAATTACCCCTAATAATTAATCAGGCAGTATGATGCTACGAAATGGGCTTGCCATATACCAACGTTAATAGCAAATATGTATGCTAAGTAGGTACCAGCTAGCGCGATACCAACTCACCGTATAGGAAGCGCTCGAACCAAGAATATTCCTTAAGAGGTCAAAGGTGAAGGGCAAACTTTCACGAACTGGATGGAGGATAACACATGAAGTGCCAAGATTTTAAAAGAGGATCAAAACCAATCCCGAATCGTGGCGTCTCACCACACTTAACAAAGTAATTTCTCCTCTAATATTTTAATATATGATCTACTCTGCTACCGGCAAAACTACCAAGGCTTTGGTAAAACAAGACATGCATTACATGTAAACTCTTCATTCCTGAGATTAGCAATTAAGCATAACGACTGGCGATCATAATGCGGTTTAGCGAACAGCAGATTAAATCTGTCCATGCAACACCTATTTGGCTATCAAGTGATACTTGTGCATACTGGTTTGACTAGATCGTGCACCTCTCGTGCCTAGGTGCACTATGTACAGGTACGATGAAAATATACACTATAGAGCCCATCGTTTTTGTTCAAAGTTTACTTATCCTAACATCAGCATAATAAACATTCCAGCGTTACACACGAAGGATTGCGTGCGGTTTCCTAATATGCGCCAAAGTGCAACACATATCAACCTCAATTATTTGATGCTACTACAACACAGTGGACCGAGTTCACACATTGCAACAAAGTCGAAAGACATTCATGGTAAATTGCTGGCTGGTTAGCCTTCTATAAGCCCACTATGGTGTACTCCAGCAAAAAGTACTCCCTACAAGCGAAGGCAAGTGTGAAGTATCATGTTGATTAGTTTCCAGTTACTTTTCACTCGAACTGTGACTACATAATAGCCACAGTGTAATTCCGCCTCACCTTATAAACTCAACGCACAAACACTCGTAATTAAAAAGAGGTGCTTTTCAACTAGTCAGGTTCCGATGAGTGGTTCTGGATCGTTTCACTGGCACATCAGTAACCTAGGATCAAGGCAGTATCGAAAAACCACAAACGCATCGCAAACCTGTGGGCTAACTTGGCATTCTATATGTAAGGTAAATAGGGTCACCAATCAGCCGGCTGTTTCTCACTGATAGTCAGTCTTGACCAGTCGGTAGCTTTTCTGCACAATTTAAAACGGTATGCTTATCATTAATCTGACGGCTAAAAACTGTGTTTTTTGTATCCAACGAGATAGAATACGCACCTCTGGATCTACTTGCCTCTCCAGACCGGTATTGGGCGCTTCGCAAGGGTGGGGGGGATGAGCAAAAGCAATGTCTTGCTAATCATCGACTCCAACTTCTGCTCCCATATGAATGAATGTTCCCCGGAATTTTACAACCATGAGTGTTTGCGTGGGTGCAGACAAACAGCACACTTATAAAAATACTAGTAGTTGCAGTCTTTCCGGGATCGTCCACAAGGTGTAGTTCATAGGTTCCCTGTGGGATAGGACCCGCGCTGAACCGCATCTGGTAAGTCAGATATACAGGGTGTTACCGTCCCTTGTGGATCAGTTTCTTTAAGTACGGACTAGTAAATCGTAGATTCATGAACCTTATCAAGCGGATAAAATCCGCACCGCTGAGGGTGTCCGAAGGGAGTAAATGCCGCTACAGTGTTTTCCAAAGCGTGTGGAGGCCGTTTGAGTGAATCTAGTGGTGACGAACACAACTTAAAGCCTGCATTTCACGATGAAATCAAACGTGCACCAATTTGGTGCGTAGGTAGATTGTCCATGCTCGTCGCCTGATAGTTACTATCTCATGTGAATTGTAACAGAATTCAGCAAGCTAGATAACACTGTTGTGATTAGGCTAATAGCCGATCGGTAATAGGACCACCAGTTCTGATTGCATCAGATCCCAGTGTACCCAATGAAAATGTTAGAATTAACGAACAACGCTCCTTTTTAAACAATAGCCCAAATATCGACATCTGGAGACGTGGGCCGCTTGTCATCATGCCTAACCAGTATCGTTGCATAGAGTATGGTGTAGGTTGGAGCAAAACGGAGGAATTGCGACAAGCAAGGGATAATTTTCCACGCTTAGCCAAAGAGAAAATAGTGGTTCACGGGGATTCGATGACGAGGAGCAAAAACTGCTACAACATCAGACGAACAGGCTTGATCAATAAAGGGAAGACGGAGAACTCGAACTGTTGTCACCCATGATGGGTCGGCTGTCACCTAAATAAACAACAACAAATACCGTTCCTGATAATAACCAGTAACCCGTTTAGCCTTTTACACGCCACCTCGAATACAGGCGGCTTGAAAAGTCAGACCTCGTGGTGACAGCAGCTCTCAATCACAGAAGCAAAGAAATTTGGAACTAGAAAGGTAACGGACCCATGGTTACAGCTAGGCTTCCATGATTTGTTAGAAGAGCAATGTACGAAGAAGTGGCGTTTCACAATGCTCACATTGTCACGATGCTACTTTGCCTGGGTTCCTCGATTACACGCTTCCCTTCGGCTGACTCGTCAGGGCTGTCCACACCGGAATCCAAGGTGACCTGAGCGGTGTCCCGTAGCAAATACACATGGTTCTGCTCGCCATCCTTAATGCCCAAAGCAGATTTATCTTTTAGTTCAGGATAGATGGCATGATTTTGCATTACAGCGGCAAAAAGTAGATCAGTTGTTTGCAGAAATACGGCGGGAGGATCACCGAGTTGTTCTTCACTATGGTCCATTGAAAGCATCATTTTAAAGTGGTAGTAACTAGATTGATGTGAACTTCGTTATTGGTAGAGCTTTCCGACTGATCTGTTGTGGATCCTTGTCGGTGTGACTGTTGAATGTAGGAAAAGGTATCCGGTTTCTTGTGGTGCTTCTCGGATACAGTGGAGTTGTAAGGCTGCAGATTTAGACAAAGCAAAGTACAGTCTCAGTCTGCTGTCATGGAATAAACTTGGAACCGATTAGGTATTCAGCATTTCGGAAGGCATTATAGAAAAGACCTTGATAAATACAGATGTTAATTCTAAAACAATCAGAAATTATGAACATTCATAATTCTCCATTGAAGTACAGTACAAGTACATCAGTAGGTTCAGCGTAACAAAGACAGGTGCATTAAAAGATGGAACATCACACCTGCAGAACAGCAGTAGCTTGTCTTCCGCGGTCGAGAGTCAGTGGGAGAAAATGGAAGACTTGTAGCTATTCGGAATTTAACAATGCTTCACGAGGCTTGTGGACTTAGTTTTTAAACCTAGCAGTGTCAGTACAGGTTTGCGATATACCACCTATGAACCCTGCCTTCCCATTTGGTGAACTAGACTACAAAGGTATTATTGGGTACGGTCAGTAAAAGTATGGCATTGCACCATGCATCATGTGCTAATCACTAAAACAGGTTTAGCATATTAAGTTTACCCGCGTGCTAAACAACGCGACAAAATGCCGCTAAAATATGCGAAGTAAAACTTTACAGCAAGAAAAATTTATTACTGCGATATCCTTCATAAAAACAATGACATTAACGCTTAGCACAATGAGCACTGGGAAGTGAACAGTGTTATCCACAAGATCACCTTCATGCTATAGTATGCTTATATCTTTGAATAAACGAAGGCTGTTCTAACGATGTGTCTCACGTGGAGCTGTACTCCAGCTCACGTGAGTTAATTTCAGACACATTGACACCCTAAGCTATGTCTGCATCGCTGGACGATATACTGCTTTCGTAGTTCGATGGGATCTGAGGGAGCTGCATACGGCAGAATAAAACAGTCATTCAATTGGTTCCAGCTTGATCGCGACCATCGAGCTAAATATGAGCATGACGAATCACTTCATGACGCCACGTCCCTTGGTCATAGGTCGCAAGGTTTTGGAGTGCCTTATGTGTATTTGCATACCGCAGGTAATTCCAATGGATCTTAAATGCAACGTAAAATTGTAGTCAAAAACACACCGGCAAATAATTAAAAGCGGTAACCAACATCGCTCATGGAGACTGGTAGAGGCTAGCCGTTATCAGAAAGGTAACAAGTTTCTTTCTTAAACGCAACTACCTACACAAAGAAGACTCAGAGAACATGATGATAGATTTTGGTTTTGGGCATGTGCAACATTGAGTTCCTTCCAGTTTGGATATGAACCCAATGCTGGGAATGAATACGGACGACGCCAATTTTCCTGATACTTGGTTATATATATTTACTTCATTTGTCGCCATTTAACTCTGCTGCAACTACACCAGGCGCCAAACTGAAATTTTGTCCTAAAACATACTGGGTAGAAAGTTATGGCTCTTCTAATTCACTTCTCGGGTTGCAATTCTCTACTGTTCGCAAAGCATTGGGAGTGCAGATGTGGTAGGAACTAAAGTGTGAAGATACATTTGACTGCTTAAGCGTATTGGAGTGATCTCCAAAGAAGAGTATCCTTTCCTGTTCCTTGCCATATTGAGCTCAGTGATGCTTACATTCATCCTTCCTGGTGGCCACTTAATGATAATGCATTGTTAGAAATGTATGGTGTATCAACGGTTTTAGGAGCAGATCCGTCTCCTTTTTTGACACAAAACCAAATGCTTCACGTTCGCCTAGTTTGGCAAAATATTGCTTGATATATTACACGCGTATGCGACTATGAATGAAATTGCAGACTTGTATCATTCACGGCAGCCAGTAGAATGAGTCCAGAAGAGCCGAGTGAAAGCGCGTAAACATAACTTCTTGTTTGTTGTGATTACGCACAAACCGAAATGTGCGAAGCTCGTTGTGGTGCTGAGATTGCTGAGGGACAATTGTCAGCTTATGTCCTATTAGTATATACTGCTGCAGCTGCTACTACTTCTTCTGTTCAATTGTGATCGGAATATAAGCAGTTTGGACTAATGTGTTAAGTTGTCCTAAAATGCCTGCTAGGTAAGCCACTCAACATCCACCTGGCTTTACCATGTAGCATATACTCGTAAAGCTTGTATGGTTAGTTGCATATGAAACAAGCCAATCTTGCTGCCGGTTTCTAACATCACAGTCATTCGACACCCGTGAAAAATGTTACGAGCAATTCTCAACCTAGTAGGCAGTGTTGTTTTACAGTTGGGAATTCAGAATTACCGTATTCATCTAAAATTTTGGCTGCCTGTAAACACCGTTTAAACGAGAATGCACGAAATCCACCGAATCCAACGCATTCTGCTAAAATAGTGACAGCCCTGATTTAACACTCGGGAACACAGTATTCATGAGCGAGTTAAACGGAAGGGACAAGGCGTGGCAGCGTTATTACTACTCTGGTCTCCCTCGACGTATACAGCTTTCGTCCACATATCTGAGTTAGTATCAAGATTTGCAATAACCGCTCCATACTTACATGTAATCTGTATTTCTCAAGTATAATGGTTTTCATTACAGTCGGTCCACTTATGTGACCACAAGTTCGTCTGTGTTGAAACAGATGCAAACAAATTGAACAATCCCTGCAAATAAACCACTGTACATCCCTGAGGAGAATAATATCTATGCGTAAGGGATCATTCTGGAGAGGATTGTCGCTACATTTCGCTAGTTGATTAACAGCAGGGTAACAACAACTGGCAAAATTACGATCGCAAAACAGACATCCGCCAGGCTAAAAATCCACCATGCTTCAGTGAGTCAGAATACGATATTAAGTATGTTATAAAATGTGTGGCGGTTCAGCTGAAAACAGTTGCACTCCTACCTTAGGTAGTCGTCAATTACTCTTTTGACGGAACCCTCCACGAGTGCCCAAACGCACGCAGGGACTGTCAGTCACAGAAGTAGATTCATGCTTGAAGACTTGTATTGTGTTCATTAGGCCGCTTTTGAATTTCTACTAAGTCCGCTGGACTCAGTCGGCCTACTTAAGCATTAATATTCCCCACAACAACAATACTGTGACGCAGCGTCTTCAGTTCGTGGTAGAAGGTGTCCTTTGCCGTATCAGAACTGTGGTCGATGGGTGCGTAAGTGAAACCCGCAAATAGACAGTGTCTAGTACTTGGTTTGCGGAACACAGTGGTCTAGTGATCATGACGATAGCCGTCAACTACTATGTGTCGAGTTCCACTCCCTGATGGACGAAACACGTCCTGGAGTGCAGGGCTGGGAGACAGCAACACCAGAAACCGTCAAGTAGTGTTTCATGAATCAAACTTAGTAGCTGTACTCAGACGGGCCGCACAGAAATGCTGTTCACGGTAACCCAATCAATCAGCTGTGACACAGTCTTAGAGCTATGAACAATGCCCACGCCAATTCGACAAGAAGTTGCAGCAGCAACTTCGGATGTGTGTAACCAATAACAAGAAGACAAGCCGGACGCGGTGGATTCAACAACTCTGTGAGGGTCCTTGATTCCAGTTTTGGACACCTTGTGTTCCCAGCGTGCATGTACCTGCAGCCAGTTGCGCTATTTGTGTTAGAGTGAAAACGTTGAAAGCCGCCAGGGAAACGGAACAGCATGGCTTTATAATGGGCCGTCGCCAACAAGCGTCCAGTGGTTGTTAAATGAAGCTAACTGAGATGGAGAACGGCAGTGACATTGCGGAAGTAAATTAAGCTGGGAATATTTGAAACTTTAGTAATAGGGTCGGGAGGGGAGTAAGATACACGACTGGAAAAGAAAGGAGTGGGCACCAGCAGTAACATGTTTTCGCTTATCCCCCCTGTTGTGTGCAACAGATGGGGCATCATCATCATCCTTATACACGTTAGCTAGAGGTGGAAACACCTCAGCTACTGTGCCGCAATACATAAAAGAAAAGGAATATAAACATAACAGTTGCAACAGATGGGGTGACCTTTGCTAACCTGGGGTGAGATACTGTCAGGGCGCCTAGACCTAGGCAGGAGAACGATACTGGTCCTCAACTAAAACCTTTGGTTCAAAAACTTGTCCGAAAAGCAGTAGTGGTTGGAAGGTTTATGTTTTGCGCAAATGGACGCCATCCCATTTCAAACCTCTAACCTAGAAAACCAGCAGACTGAGTTCATCTGATCCCTACCCATTGATCAGTCTGGTGGGATTAGCTCTCATTTGTCCAGGTACAACACCCAATATAGTTCAGTGAATGTGAGAGATATGCAAGCCGTTGCACCACGCTAAAATCTTGTCTGGTTGCTAAGGTGTCACGAATGCACATATAGATTTTCAGTCACAGAACTGGTTTCATGTTTGAAACATAACTAAATAACTAACTAAATAATTTGGCTATTCTCGATAGAATAAGGCACACCAGTAGGGTATGCTCAACAAAGTACAACAAAATAACTGCGCTGGAATAGTACAAAGAATTGATTGAAATAGTACGATGGTAAACTTTCGTAGTTTGCACATGTGAAATATTTGTCATTTAGTTATGGGATCAAAGTAGCTGAGGGTGCTGATACGCTTGTAGTGGCAAAACTCGAAATGTGATGTGCTTTCTCCAAATTGAACTCCATGGTTTCATAAGCAAAGCAGCCAAAGGAAACGCCCAATAAAATGGTTTCCGAATAAAAGATTGGAATTTCGGGGGCTTCATCAAGGCATCAGAATTGGCTGTGATGAGCAAGGTGCTTATTTACCGTCTTCGTCCCAAAATCAGTTGGATTATCCATTTCAGGAAAGAATTGCAGTAATTACTGGCAGAAGTTGAAGGATTAAGCTTTTTGAAATGTGAGGTATCATTTGTTTGTGGAACCCAATAATGGCATCGCAGAGAATTCGGAAGATCGTGTGTGGAATATTCTGGTAACGGCGAAGGACAGAAGCCAGGTGACCATGTGACGAAGGAGAGCAGCAATTTGTCCAAGGTACGAATTGAAATGCCTCCAGAAGTAGCTCATATCATCCTTAGGAGAAACAATTATCCATGGCTAAATGAAAGATACACATAA